CATATGCAAAAGCAATGATGTGTTAAATTCACTAATGGACCTTAACAGCCTGGTGTTAGAGTTTTCTGTTTTATACGTACATAAAAAATGAGGACGCTTGCTGCTGTGAGGCGACACTTTAACCACTAGTCACTGCTGTCAGTGTCACAGATTTCTGTGATCCTACAATGACAGCTGTTTACTGGGTGATTCAAGTTATTAAGGTTCATCATCTGAGGACACTGAATGTCTACCATACATTAGGGCGGTCAGTAACTTTACTGTGACAAACACTGCATGCATTAGTAAACACAATCAAATAGATTGGTATTTATTCTGCACTCTTCCTGATCACTCCGAGCACTCTACACCATCACCTCATTGTATAAACTTTAGTTACCTCAGATTAACATTAACCATCCCACCAGCCAATTTACAACCACACATAAGCCTAACGTGCATGGACATGCATTCTAATCAATTTGCAATAGGAATCCAGGAGTGACAGCCCTCTGTATACCCACTTATTATTTTAACATAAAAATAAAATATTTTAAAAAATGTTATTGCTTCCATTATATATACTATATGATCAATATATATCATATATGCCTTATGAAAAGGCTTGATAAAGAGGAAAAGATCATTGCACCTGTATATGTAAAATTTATGTAGAAACATGTACCTGTACATGATGTCATGTCTCTTGTTGCTCTTTGAGTGAGGAATAATAAAAGCCTGGCTCTGCGTGGGCTTTTTAATCGAGCACGACTAAAATTACTGAACCAGAACAACCCTAACCCAGACAATATTTGCCAGTGTAATTTAGTCTGGACCAAAGTGGGGATGAGTTGAATTATTTGGCTACCACAGAGCACTTGGATTGAAATAGTAGAGCAGAAGACTTATTCAGTAACTTTAATTGCGAAAGGACAAACCAGAAAAATCAAATCACTTGAGGATACGGGCTCTGAAAGCAGATGGTCCTAATGTAATTTTGAAAAAATTCCTCCAGAGTACTTTCTGTGCTATCAGCTCCTGCTGTGCCGTTTCATGAATATGCAGCTGGCTGGAGAACAGGCTGGAACAGCAGGACCACCCCGACCCCCCATGTCACCGCAGACGGACGGGGATCTGACAGCAGCCAGGAGGAGCGAGCGGTTTCAATTGGCAACTGCACGCCGCAGCATACGAAGATCAAGTCACACACTGTTCCCGTGTGGATGCGTCTGCTTTTAATTGGATAATGTCCCATCCACAAGTGACCATGTGTGAAAATTAGTTTCCAAAGAGCGCCGCAACAATTTCGTCAGTGCTCCGACAGAGTTCTGGGAAGCTAATTTTTATGACTTTTGTGGCCTCAAGTCAAGCCTAGACAAGGGAGGTATGAGATGGGGGTAAGTCTCCAGTACATGAATAACAACAGCTGCCCCGAGGCCCACACAATAGTCTCAGGCTCTGTTTGTGATTAAACAGCTACAACTAGCTACACTCATAGCAGTCAGCTCACATCTGTATGTGTGATGTTCCTGGATTTTACTCCCAGGAAAACAAAGGGAGAAGTCCCTCACTGTGCTGTAACATACAACACCACATTCCAGACTATGATATACTTCTTCCTCTTCAGTCAATGCGTCTAAAAGCCCAAAGGCGAAATCATAGTGGCGACTGTAGTAAAGACCTCTCACGCTGACACATAAGCCCATCTTACAAAGTCAGCTTTTCTAAAACAGATGTGAATTTCAAAGACCGGATACGAAGACGTCACAAAGGGTTAAGTTTCTGCAGCATGAAAGGCAACTCGTGTTCTGAAAAACTATTTCTGTCCAGGATGTTACAGTAAAGCCACTCTGCATCTATGCAATTATGCTAAATTTGGATTAGCACTGCATTTCCAAGCACTGTAATTTTATGCTAACTCTGACTTGGCACTATGTTCCTTTGTTATGCAGCTGTTCTCCTTCAGCTTCACATCGCCTAAAAACACTCTGACCTTTACCCCAGATAGAGCGGCTTCACCTCCCCTAACTAACTGCATATCTGAAACCAATTTAGATTCACTTAGAGCAGACAGGCAGGTTTAATGGTCGGCGCGTGAGCTGCATTCCAGGTGTGTTTGGAATACGTGGAGCCAATCCCCCCCCCCAAAAAAACAGAGGCAGCATCTAGGAATGTGTGCACTTATGCCATGTGTCTCATCAAAGCACTGGTTGTAAACCTATTCAATCAAAATTAACTCACAAAGGCAAATTAATACACAATAGCAATTTACAGTAATCGTAAACAAAAGCATCTTTAATTTTGGGGGTTTGCACTGTCGATCGGACTGGAAAATCATTCAGTGCCAATTTTTGTAGCTGGTGAGGAAACAATTGCTTTTGTGCATTTATCCTGGCTAGAAAGCTCTCGTTTGGACCTGTAACGAATCAAGCGCTCCCCTTTCTTTTATACAGTGAAGCGCACAACCTTGTGAAAAAGCCAGTTTAAATGGATGGTGACTGATCAAGATTGCTACCTTCTTTTTCAAGAGACTAGGGTATGACGCTGTTTTAAGACCTGCTTACTTAACAAGGACATAAAAAATTTAACTTGCAGTGCCACTTTTTGATGGGACAGCTCTAGTGTGCTGCTCTTCCACACCAACGCTGAATTTCCCACGAAGTAGAAGCACAGGTGTGGCCAATAAGACCGCCGATGGCTTCGTTAAGTCATTATATCACCGAGCAGCAAACCATCATTACTGTCACTAACACACCCCTGCTTTTCCTGCTAGGACATGTCTCCCGTTTTTATTAGTTACAATGAAGCAAAAGCAATTTGTCCAGTATAGCTACACGAGGACGTGCACACAGATGAACCAATGTTTTTATCTAGAAGTCACAAATGTAAAAGTCAAGTCAAAGGTTAGTTATGAAGTTCTATGAGATCGCCTGCTAAAATAAATATATACACATTTCCACTGACATGCAGATGAAACATAGTTTTGTTAATCTATGAAGCTGGCACTAAAAACATGTCACAAAGGCCTGGATTATCTGTAATTTTCTATCTCTTAATTTGAATTTGCTCCTCAAAATGTCAGAAATGTGAAGTCCTGCGTCTGGATAGCAGTACCTTAGCCTCTAGTACTATCAAGGACACATTTTTTTGTTAGTCCTTTGGACTGGCGCGATAAAGCTTTCTGTAATACTGTCAAAACAACAAGCACCATGTTTCAGAGCAATATTGAAAGACAATATTTATTTGGTGGAGGCATTTTTAAGCTGTTATGATCAGCAGTAGAAGCTTTTAGATGAACACAGGTTTGTAAGATGATGAGGAAACCCCCTGATCAGTTTAGAGGTGATCATTTCCTATTTACGTTCACGGTGAGGGGGGCTAAGAGTACATTTTGCACCATCTTACATTGCTGTGATTTAAGTACACGTGGCCACTGACCAATGGTCATGGCGCTTTGCATAATAATGATCATGAAACTGATCTTCTGGCTCTTTGTTTGTCTGCGGTGCTTGTTTCAATTATTATCCAACTTTATTGTTAATGCAGGTGAGGCTGAAGAAGAAACTTGGTTACGAAAACTTTCTGGGATTTTCTACCTGGATGATTAAGAATTCCTCAAGCTTTTAGTGTCCCATTTTTAGAGTATGACTATCAAATCAAAAGCAATGCGAGTGCGAGATCCTACTGTAAATGCAAACATCACTTAATGTAAATACACTAAACAGCACAGACTGTTACTTTATTCTTTTACAACTGCATGTTGAGACCATCTTGCAGCACTATCGCATCATTTCCGAAGAACCACACCCTTGATTTTGATTTCAACCACACACCTGTAACGGTTTGTGACTGTATCTTACACAATCACACCTACCGCACTGACACGTTAACCTACTGACAGAAAAGCATATCAGTCACGCTATCATAACCGATACCCCTGACTTTAACAGTGTAACACTACACTGACAGTAACGTCTTTCACAAGTTACTTATGGACATGTCACACACCCAAACTTTCTGGGATCGCCATTAAACGTGAATCCACCTCACAATATGGGCTATACCTACAGTTTTTAGGCCCCTAAAATAGCTGAGCACGTGTGAAAGAGGCCTTTGTATGTGGCAGAGGGAAGCAGATCCCACTGAAGGGACAACCCCACTGCCAGCCAGCTGCGTCTGCTCCCAGCCCTCCTCCCTGTAGCTGAGGAAACACTGCGCTAAACACTCTGCTAATGGAAGTTTTTCTCCTGTTCCTCAATTTAGATCTGAGCTTCATGGGAAAATAAAGACATCGGGATGGAGCACAACGGGGTGAAATGACAATGGGCTGGAGGCCACGCTTTAGTATTGGAATGACAAGGACCAACAAGTCGCACAAAAAAATCCTTTATAGCTGGGCTAAGAATGTCTCAATAGCCTGCTTTCATGCACTTCACTGATATGTGTATTGGATTACAAGTATGCCACAACCCATTAACACAGCGGGTTATGAATGGGTTTTATTATGAAGGCATGGGCAAACCCATATGCCAACAGAAAAGGACCAGCTGGTCTGCTGCACACTTTAAACTAGAGCCCATACATCAGATACACTTTTGTCTCCACACAAGAGATCTTCACAAACACACAACCCTTTATGGGACTATAGATCATATGAGATTTTAAATTTAGAAAAACTTATAAATTAATATTTAATCAAACTTCTTTTGTTACTGATAAAAGAAAAAAACAAACCCTCATATTTAAATACTTGAGTCATTTGCAGATGGATGGAGATGAACTGATAAAAGTGATGAAATATTTTCTTTGCTTGAAAGGTGTCAGGTTGGGACGTCTGTGTAAACTATTCACGGGGCGCTTAATTTCTAATGTTTCATGTTAGCTTTAGTTTTATTCTTAGCGTAGCGGCAGGCAGACAGAGCGGGGATGCAGGAGAATGAGCGCTCCGATGGCAGGGTGTGGAAGCAAGTTTAAGCAGAGCAGAGGGGGAAATATTGTGTATTTATGGGATTTATACTCACCTGGCTTCAGACTGCTGTTAAAGTAGAATATGACCATGACGAAACATCCCAGGGACAAGGCAAAAACCATCCGGATCACTCTGGGTTTCCTCATCCTGAGAGTCTCTGGAAGCCACCGAGAAGCCGAGCCCAATCCTGCCAGGGTTCAGGCGAACTACACGGTTTTTGTCGAGTCTACTTCACCGGCCGTGGGAGCATCGATCCGGCTCGCTGCTCGACCTTTGCCGCTCCTTATCTTCCTGGACATCCTCGCATGCCGGGTCAGGAGGAGGCAGCGGTGAGGGAGGGCGAGGGGGCCCCGGGCGGCAGACTCCGCTGGTCTGCCGTGTCTCTCTCGGTTACCGACGCGTTTCTGTGTGCCTTTGTAGAGACGACGGAGAAGGCTGCATCACTGCCGCTGTGGTGCCAGCACAGGCCGCCGGACTGCGTGGGTAACGGGCCCTTTATACGCCACGACAGGGTCTTTCCAAATGTCCGCTTAACCCCTTTCTCCCCGCGGACACAGAAAGGGTCCAACCACTCAACGACCCGGTGGTCGAGAAATAAGCGACACGTTTCAGAAGAAGGGCGGGTTCCGGGGAGACCTTTCAAAGTAAAACTTCTATACAGACAGTATGAAATCTGCTGTGAGTTTGGGACTGAACCGGTTTACAATTCATTAATGCGAAATTAATAAAAAAATAAATTAATATCACTGGTGGAAACGCTTCTAGAGGCATTTCAGAATAAGAGTCTTGCACCTTTTATGAATTTCAAACGTTAGATTTTAAAAACTTGCTGAATTTCAGTCTTTAAAAAATGTGTAAAATTTTCGTACAAATAGAACAAAATTTAATACCAGAAATATTAAAGACATCACTGGTTTCAGACATGGTTTTTATGATGCTGGGACAAGACTAAATTTTAAGATTAGCAAAGAAACACCCAGAGAAAGCCTTCATATAGCCTGAAATGTTAGATCTGTTGGAAAAGTGTGGTTCTTTTCCAATTCAGAGTGGGGGACTGGTCTATAAAAATCAGTTCCCACCCCCATTTCCAGAGGATCAAAAGTAGCTGGAAAAACCAACATTTAGGATGGGAGATAATATGGACTGTTTTAAATGAGAAAATGCAAAACCTGCCTGTCTAGAAACCATGAGCATCACAAAATGCTGGCTCTCCTCTTGCGGAGCTCTGTTGGGCCTTTACTACAGCCACCTTTAGTTGCTGCTCGTCTGTGGGTCTTTCTGCCTTCAGTTTTGTATATAATAACTGTAAAACAATGCTCTGTCGTTTTGAGATTGGGTGACTGAAATTTCCTCTACCATGTTTAACAGATCATACAGGATGCTTCAGATCACCATCGGCCCCTTTTCTTCTCCAAGCTTTTCTCTTCCACTCATTTTGCAGCAAGTCAATTTTGTACCACTGAACATGTTTAGATATTTTTTCTTTATTTGTTATGTTTTTATTTTTTGGCAACATCTAAAAATGCTTGCACAGTGATACTGTTCTTGAGTGGTTTGTAGACTTAATTATAGATGTTGACACTAAGATGCCAGCCTCTTTGAGAGCGTTCCTGACTTAGCTAAATGTTCTGAAGTTATTTTCCTTAACGATGGAAATAATTCTGTCATCATCCACTTCAGGTTTCTGTGGTCTTGCTATACTGACAAGTTCATTCCTTCTTTTTAAGAAGGTTATGTAGCACTTTTCTACTCTATCTGAGAAATCAAAGCACCTTACACAACTTGCCTCATTCACCCATCCATACAAGCACTTTTTGCTATGGTCTTTCTGTCAAAGTGTTTTCTATCTACCATTCACAACATGCTTGTCTTTGACATGTAGACTGGAGCAGCCAGGGACTGGACCACCAATCTTCCGATTAGCAGATAATCTGCTCTACCAGCTATTTACGCCTAACTTTCTATTCCTAGAATTTCCTGAAGTTTTTGTGACCTGCCCGATTGGTTTGTTTTGGTGTTTCAGCCTAGTGATGTTCACCTTCACAGACATCATATTCATACTTCCAGTGTACAGCCACCAGAGGCAAGTTCAACACTTTGAACCAATTTTAGATCTTTTATCTGTTTATTTTGCCATGGAACAACAAGTAAGGAGGCTTCACCTGAGGCTTGTCAGTCAGTTGTCCAATTACCTTTGAGCATCTGAAAATGGGAGATTATGTATAAAAATGCCTGTAATTCTTAAATAGTTAATGAAATGCATTTGTTATTAAACCTTGAATTAAAACTGAATTTGATTGTTTAAAATTCCCTGTGGTGGTGTACAGAGGCAAAATTGCAAAGAATAAGTCATTGTCCATATATACTGACCTCACAGTACCTTAACAGGGGAAAACCAGTCTTTTGCTTTAATAACAGAGATGATACCTTTAACCTTTGGTCCACTGAGCTGCTATCATACAAAACTGTGATGTTAAAAATTCTTCTTGTGTAAGTTGTATGTGAATGGGAGAATTTCTTTTACCACCAACATTCTCCAGCTGATCGGTCTTGTGTAAATCTGTGTAAATCTGTTACTGGATCCATAAAAAATTTTTTTTTAAATAATGACAATAATGAGAAAGGCTTTAATATCAGTCCTTCCTGTCACAGAGGTCCCCACATTATAAACTAATTGCACCATATAAACGTTTGAAAACTCAGACATCAAATAAATGCCTCAGAATGACTCCTCAAAGGTTGAATCATTATAATAAGAATACATCAGGCATAAGCACTGAGTGCACACAGCTTAAAGGAACAGTTTCACTGTGCATGGCAGAGATCAGAGTGACAAACCCCAAAACAGGGATGGTTCTACAGATGAGGTCCTCTGAAGTTTTTCCCCTCCTCAGCTTTTCTGTGTTTTCACTATTTTGCGTTTTCTTAGGGTCAGTGTCATTGCTGGTGATACCTGGACCCTACAGAGGTTGTGCAGGTAGTCCAGCTCCTCCAGGCTGGCACATCAATGTGACATCATCATCAGGTTTGCTGTGTCTCCCAGCACAGTGTCAAGAGCATGGAGGAGATTCCAGGAGACAGGAGCAGAACCAGTATCTGCACCTTTGTGCAAGGAGGAACATAATGAGCACTGCCAGAGCTACAAAATAACCTCCAACAGGACACTGGTGTGAATGTGTGAATGTCGCTGACCAAACAATCAGAAACAGACTTCATGAGGGTGACTGAGGGCCCAACGTCTTCTAGTGGGCTCTGTGCTCACTACGTGGCACTATGGAGCCTGGCATTTGCCACCCTGTGTGTTTCAAAGACGGTTCACTCTGAGCACAGGGGACAAACATAAAAGAGTCTGGAGAAACCGTGGAGAACGACATGCTGCCTGTATATTGTTCAGCATGACTGGTTTGGTGGTGGGTCACTGATGGTCTGGGGAGGCATATCCACCGAGGGACACACAGACCTCTATAGGCCAGGCAACAGCACCATTAGGTGCCATTAGCTATCAGGATGAAATCCTTTAACCCACTGTCAGATCCTACTCTGGTGCTGTGGGGCCTGGTTCCTACTGGTGGTCTTATTAGGAGCATGCCCCAATGTTATAAGCAATGCATACAAGCACATGGTGGGGCCATACAAACTACTGGGTACCATTTTTTTAATGACATTTTAGTCAAAATGAACGAGCCTGGTGCTACATTTTTTCACTCTGACTTTCGAGGTGTCTTTGAACTCAGCCCTCTGTAGGCTGATAATTTTATATCCATCAAAAGATGTGCCATCCTTTCATTCTTAACAAATTACCCGATTATTTTTTCCCCTTTTTTCCTTAAGATCTGTAGTGCTTTTGAAGTGCTCCTTTTAAATTTTGGAGCAGTGTATAAATATCACAGGAGGTCTTTTCTGTGCTGTGTTATCAAGATTAAAAGATATCAACAGATACTATTTTCTCTGCTTCTAGTTGTTCTCGCACAGTTTTTGTGATTTCTGGCTTTTGACCAGCACCCAAAGCGTGACAAACTGAGGGACTGGTCTGTCACGAGGAGACCTGAGTAATCTATGTTGTTTTATCACAGTTTGAGTCTTCAGTAAATATTTAAAGAGATCTGCAAAAGATAGGAAGAAAGGGTGGGGTCATGTTCACCCCATTATTGAGCACCATGAAAGAACTATACACAAAATCTTCAGGAATATAAAAAAGATCTGTATATTCATTCATGTATATGACCTACATAACATACACAACTGTTCATTACGTACGCTGGAGATCAAATTACAAAAACCAAAACAAAGGTTCGAGGATACAAGTGAAGCTTTAGCCAAGAAATTCAATTCCATTTTATTTATATAGAGCCACATCAAAGCAGCAGTCGCCTCAAGGCACTTAAAGAAAAAGGCCATTCTGTTTAACAAACACGTCTTTCTGTATATGAGACATATTTTGGAGATAAGCTTTGAAAGAGAAAAAAAAGGGTTTGCATGTTATAAATCCCAAAAGGTTTGTTTTCGCTGCAGACCGGTGATTCTTCCAGAACGTCAAAAATTGAAATATATACTCCAGTGATGACGCACATCTGCTACAGCCTTTTTCCAGCTTATCTGCACGCACACTCACATTCACAGTCCAGGATTACGCAGGAATTTCTGCTCTGTCACTTTTCCACCATAAATAAAGGAGATGGCCTCCTTGGAACAACTAAATGTCTTTATTCACGTTGGACTTTTGACTCCTGCACAGCATTTACAGAACAAGAATAAAAGCTTAGTTCATAAACAACAGTGATTCATGTGATACGCATCCTAGCTTGTGTTTAGCCTCCACAGGAGAGTCCACTGTAGCAAGCCGACCACCGCTCCTGCTCCAAACCTTCAGGCCTGAAACTGGTAAAGCTAATGCAACTTGTAGCTTCAGGTTTAGCTAATTAGAGCAGTAAGGGCTTCCTGCAGAACTACTGTTGACCTCTGACCTCCTCACATTCCTAAAGTACGTCGTCCCAGGCCTCATGATTCGGATCCCCGGGAGAAGTCGGAATGAGTTAGGAGACACGCGACTGATCAAACCACAGGCCTGATGGCAAGACAGTGTGAAGCCTGCCAGTGTTTACTGTCTGAGAATGGAATGATGGGTAATGGCTGACGGGTTACTACTGGCAGGAAGTCAGGGCACATTCCCCCAGCGACTGACCAATCAGACGAGAGGTGTCAAGCAGAGTCAATACATGGTCAAAGGTCAGAAAAGCAGGTTTGGCATGGCCAGCTGTCTGTTTGAATCTGCCGTGAGGGAACACAGAGGGGTCTTTGAAAGGACTTACCTGGGCACAAGCCCAATGCCCGAGGGCTTCACCTGCAAAATGTCACTGACACAGACAAAAACAAAACCCAAAGCAAAGAATTTTAAAAACGAGTTTTTTAAAAAACCAAAAGATGAGATGAAGATGAACTCAGGCATGTTTAGTGAGTCTGAGATGGTTTTCTCCTGACCCTCTCAGAATCAGCTGACTTTGTTGTCCTGTAACTTTAGTATATCGAATGAAGCCATGCCACAGTTTACCCTTATGTGAAGTTACAGGTCCTTCAAGTACAAATCTGTTGCTTTTTAATTCACATTGTTTTCTTCTCTATCAGTACAGGAAGTATCTACATGAAAAGTGAAAAACACAAATGAGCCCTGCTATTTGGTTTTATTTGTTTTCTG